CGTGGCGGCAAACGCCCGCCCCCCCCCCGCAGCTGAAAGACTCACCTTGCGCTCATCCTCCAATCCGCTCGCGAGGCGCAATTCTTGATTCCAGACTGACACTGGCAAGCGACGCCGAGGCCCCGTCAAATCCAACAGGCGCGATCGGCCCCGTCGAATGGCGGGCGAACCGAAAAGTAAGACGATGTCGCAAAAGTAAGTTTAGAATTTTCGGATCCGCGCAAGAGGGTAATCCAGTCGCCTAAAGTGTAGTTCAGTGCCTGTCCTCCCTCCCTCCTCTACATTCCCCCCATCCCTCCCGCTTCCCTCCTCCTCGTCCATGTGCTGCTCCACCATCATTTCTCCTGAAAACAACTCCTCCCTGTCGCACCCCCAGACGTGTCAGTAGGGCACGCCAAGCGTTTCGCATGGGACATCCTCACAACTTCTGGTCCTGAAGCTTGAACTTTGCGATAGCTTCACGGACGGAGGGCGGGTGATTGTTTAAATGTGGCTGTCGCCTTTGAGCCGCGCGCATTCGTCTTCAGCGTTTGCAGCACTTTCGACAATGGAGGGCGGGTCGTTTTCAAAATGGGGTTCACGCCCAAGCGCCGCGCACATTCACCTTACACGTTCACAACTGTCTTAAGGGTGGAAGACACATCATTTTCCAAATGCGGTTCTCGCGTTAGTGCCGCGCACATTCGTCTGTAATGTTTGCATCAGCTTCAAAGATGGAGGGCGGTGCATTTTCAAAATGTGGCTGTCATCTTAGCGCAGCGCACATTCGTCCGACAAGTTTGAAACGGTTGCAAGGACTTGTATGTTTGACGTCCCAGGAACGTTGTTGTGGCACGATGCAGGATTGCCAGGACGCAGCAACAATCACGTTGATTCGCGGTGTTAATCTCCCAGGAGCTATGTCGTCGCACCTTTTGGGATTGCCAGGGCGCAGCAGTCACGGTGAGCGAGGATACATAATTGTAGGAAGCTCTGAAAATGGAACCTGGACGGAGGGTGTGTTGCAACATCGTTGATGCGTCTTGGGTTTACACTGGTCCTCCTCGTCCTCCTCGTCCTCCTCCTGCGCCTCCTGCTCCTCCTCCTCCTCCTCCCCTTCGAAAGGGGCCTCCAAACCCGTGGGCCTTCTCTAGAACCTGGTCCCCCACATCCCGCAGCAAACGTCACTAGGGTCGGGAGAAAAGACGCATGTTTGAAAGGTCGGGGCGGGATGCATTATTGAGCTGGCTTGTCGAATCCCCACCACGGTGGCACGGAGTGGACGAATTATTCAGCTGGCGTCGCTTCGTCATCGTCTTGCTAGAATTCAAGCTTGGGAGCTTGAAGCAAGCGATGAGCTCCGTGCCAAACGCTGCGCTCTATGTACCGCTTTGCGATGCCATGGCCGCACTTCGTTGTCATCATACTTGCCGCTCGTGTAACGCATTCGGCCCACTTACGTCTAACACCTTCATGTTCAAGGTCATGCGACTACATACTTAGCGTGACGGTCACACGTGTCATTCGCATCGCCGTGAACACCGGCCGAGTCGCCATCGTCGCCATCATAATCATCATCCAAAGCAACCTCAGTTTCCTCATCATCGGCATCATGATCATCATCATCAGCAGCATCATCATCACCACCATCACCATCATCATCATCAGCGTCATCATCGTCATCTTCCCCACCATCAACAACATCATCAATACCATCATTCCCAAGATCACAATCAGCATCGCCGTCCTCATCTGCATCCTCATCCTCAGCATCAGCATCACCGCCATGGTGAATGGCATCATCATCAGCACCACCACCAGACAAAATACCATCACAATCACCAGCATCATCATCGTCACAATGATAATGATACTGATCCTGATCATGATGCTGACTATCAGCATCATCAAAATCCTCGCCATCCGCATATGCAGCATCATCCTCATCACAAGCATCATCATCAGTATCATAATCCTCATCAGCATGATCATTCCCATCAGCATCAACAGCAGCGTCATCAGCATCAGCATCGTCATCATCACCATCATAAGCAGTGCCACCATCATCATCATCATCATCCTCATCCTCATCCTCATCATCATCATCATCATCATCAGTATCATCATCAGCAGCACAAGACATCACCATCAGCATCAACAGCATCATCATCATCATCATCATCATCATCATCATCACCCTGACCAGCATCGTCATCGTCATCGTCATCATCAGCATCACCATCATCATCAGCATCATCACCATCAGCAGCAACACCATCATGTTCACCACCATCATCATTGTCGTCATCGTCGTCGTCGTTGTCTTCGTCGTTGTCGTCGTCGTTGTCGTCGTTCTTACGAAACTTGAATTTCCCTCTGGGGGAAGAATTGGAAGTAGTTGCCCCCCCCCCCTGTGAAGGGGGGGGGCACGGGGTATCAAACCGCCCAAGCAAGGGAAAGCCTGTATGTTTGACGCGGGCCATGGAGCCAACACCCTGGAACCTCCGAATACGAGTCCTTCTTCCCTTGGCAAAGGACTGCCCCGCGATAGGGTCCCGTATCTCCCTGTCCACCCCCCTCTCGCCTCCTCCTCCTCCTCCTCCTCCTCCTCCTCCTCCTCCTCCTCCTGTGTCTCCTTCTCCTCCTCCTCCTCCTCCTCCTCCTCCTCCTCCTCCTCCTCCTCCCTCCTCCCGCCTGCCCCCGACCATCCCTGTCCGTTATTATTCCTCCCTTCTCCTCGTCATCGTCCTTCTCCTCGTCCTCTTCTTCACTCGTCGTTCCTCCTTCTTCTCCTCCTCCTCCTCCTTCTCCTCCCTCCCTCCTCCTCCTTCTCCTCCTCCCTCCTCCTCCTCCTCTTTCCCTCCCTCCGTCCCTCCCTCCATTCGCCCCTCCCCCTCCTCCACCATTCTCGGGAATGGGCAAAACCCCCTTTAGTAAAAATTGGTTTAATGAAAACGACCTCGGGCCCAAACCTGGCATGGGCAAGCCTGGAAAATGACGGCCGCGGCGCCCTCTCGAGAACCGAAAACGGACAATTCACTAGTCGACGTGTCAGAGGGGGGGTTCTGTCCACCCCCGAATTACACAATACCTTTACGACCCTCCTTCAGGTAATAAGAAGGTTGTGGGGGGGGAAGGGGGGGAAATCAACATCTGACTCAATCGATCTCTCTATCGAACTCACTCAACAGGACACCACGGGACACCACGGGACACTTGTCGATCTCACTATCGATCTCACTCGACGGGACACCACGGGACACAACGGGCCACCACGGGACACCACGGGACACCGCGGGCCACCTCTCGATCTCACTATCGGTCTCACGATCGATCTTACTCAACGGGACACCATAGGACACCACGGGACACCACGGGACACCGCGGGCCACCTCTCGATCTCACTATCGATCTCACGATCGATCTCACTATCGATCTTACTCAACGGGACACCGCGGGACACCACGGGACACCGCGGGACACCGCGGGACTTCGCGAGCCACCGCCGGACGGACGGACGAACGGGCGGGCGGGGGAGAATCATGTGTCTTGACATCACCCTAGCAACGGCGGACACCACGGGACACCTGTCGATCTCACTATCGATCTCACTATCGATCTCACTGTTTGGGGCACCACGGGACACCACATCGATCTCATCGATCTCACTCAACGGGACACCACGGGACACCACGGGACACCTGTCGATCTCACTATCGATTTCACTATCGATCTCGCTTTTTGGGACACCACGGGAAACCACGGAACAGCTTGGGGCACCACATCGATCTCATTATCGTTCTCACTATCGATCTCACTATCGATCACTATCGATCTCACTCAACGGGACACCACGGGACACCGCGGGACACCGCGGGACTTCGCGAGCCACCGCCGGACGGACGGACGAACGGGCGGGCGGGGGAGAATCATGTGTCTTGACATCACCCTAGCAACGGCGGACACCACGGGACACCACGGGACACCGCGGGACACCGCGGGCCCCCGCCGGACGGGCGGGCGGGGGAGAATCATGTGTCTTGACTTCGCCCTAGCGACAGCGGGTTCATTCCTCTCGCGCGCCCGCACAGCTTCGCCTCGCCCGCACGCACGACACGAACGAAACGAAACGATTTCCGGGCTGGGTGTCTCCGTTCCACTGCGATCTCACCCCCCAACCTCCGATGAATACTACTCTCCTCTCTCCCATGATAACGTCCGGAAGATGTTCGGCCCCCCTCCGCGTTCTGTTTTTACGCAAGGTTCCAAGAAAATGGGTTTTCGCGTGTTTTTTCCAAGTGCTGCTCCCGCTCAAGCGCTGGCCTCATTTTCGGGCTTCCGCTCGTTCCGAATCGTGCTCCCATTGCAGCGCTGGCCTCATTTCCGCGCTTCCGCTCGTTCCGAATCGTATTCCCGCTGCAGCGCTGGCCTCATTTCCGAGCTTCCGCTCGTTCCGAATCGTGCTCCCGCTGCAGCGCTGGCGTCATTATTTCCAATGCCATACCACGGCATGCAATGCAATGCTATTTGGTGTTCCGGTGTGCGATACCACGCCTTCAGCTGCAATGCTAGGAGATGCAGTGCTTGACTGAGCAGTGCCACGCCATGCTATGCCATGCTACGCGTTGATCTCCAACGCCATGCTATGCCAGGTTCTGTTATGTGCCGATGTGCGATGTCTTTAGTTGCGCTGCAATGCTTTATGACACGCAACGCCACGCCATGCTATGGCATACTATGCTCTACCATGCTCTCTTCTCCGCCCTGCTATGCCGTGTTCTGCGATGCATCGCGCACCCTCTCGGGATCATTGCCCCGCTCGACATCCGACTGTGCGAAAAGAGGGGACATCTACGCCATGGCAATGGATGGGAGGGAGGGGTAGGACGTCAGATATGACGCGAGCGCACCTAGCTTGCCCTCCCCCTCTCTCTCGCCTCCCCCCTCACGCGCTCACCCCATCACTTCCCGCCCACCTCCATCCTGCCGTCTCCCCCTCCCCCCTGGCCCAGCCCACCCGCCCAGATCCTGCAGCTCCTTCGCGGAATCAACGAAATTCTGCCCCGAGGGCTCGTCCTGCCGGGTCGGGTGAGCGCGAGCGTTGGCGCCAGGCAGAGGGATTACGGGCGAGCGCTGCACCACGCTCGCGGGAGCGAGCGCGGGGGGGAGGAAGGGGGAAAAGGGAGGAGGGTCGGAGGGCGCCAACTATACACATGCACCGATCCTGGCCAGGGTGCGCAAATGCTGCGCCTGCTATATCGCGGTGGGCATCGAAACCCTAAAAAAGACATTCGGGGCGCCGAAGCAAAGCCGAAACAAGCGAGCCGCTTGAGACATTCCCCCGATATGGCTGCCAGCAAGAGACGGACTCGATGCGCCGCAAGATGCGAACCGCATGAGACATCCCCCCAGTCTGGCCGCGAACGGGCGAGTGTCATGCCCCCCTGGCGGCTCCTCCTTGGCGCGCCCGAGTGCCACACCTGATTTCGCGCGGTGGGCCATCGGGCTGTCACATAGAAACGAGCCCGATGCGCCGAACAAAGCGAACCGCTTGAGACATCTCCCAACTCTGACAGCGAGCAAGCGAATGTCGTGCCCCCCCTGGCGGCTCTTCCTTGGCGCGCCTGGGTGCCACGCCTATCAGATCGCGGTTGCCACAAGGCTATCAAGAGGATCCCGAGACGCCGAAGCAGGCGAACCGGTCGAGACATCCCCCTCCCACGCGCGGGTGTCATACCCCCCTGGCGGCCACGCCGACCCTGCGACGTACCCACCACAGCTGCATCAAATGGCTAGATCACTTGGCCCGAATCCCACCAGCCCTCTGGGCGTAGGTGGTTTAGGGAGTATCCTCGGGGAGGGGCTTACCCCTCCCCCTACCCCCCCCCCACCACCACTGGACCTCGACGAAGGGTTCCGCGACGCGTTGGGACGTCCAAAACGGCCTCGGCGAGGAAACCCAAATCAGTGGTTTTATCATGGTGTTGGCCCCATGTTGGCCTCCTGATGGGGAGGGGTTAATTTCCCCCCCCCCCCCGCCTGCGAAGGATCTTCTCCAAGATGGCCCCAAGATGCGCCCATGAGGCCCCCCAAAGCCCCGATGTGGCCCCAAGATGGCACCACATGGCCCCAAGAAGCCCCCAAGACGCCCCCAGGATGCCCCCAAGAGGTGCCCAAGAGACCCCCGAAAAAGGCCCCAAGAGGCCCCCCCGAGGCACCCAATACGCTCCAAGAGGCCTCGGCGAAACTGCCAAAATCACTGACGTTACCAAGGTTTTGGCCACATGTGGGCCTCCTGGGGGGGGGGGTGCTTCAGATAACTTCAAGAGCGCCTGGGAGAGCCCAAGATGACCTCCAAGATGGCTCCAATTACCCCAAAATGCCTCAATATGGCCCCCGCGATGCTCCAAGGTGCCGCAAGACCGCTTCAAGACGGCTCCAAGTAACCAAAGAGCTCCCCCAGGAGGCCCCGAGGGGGCCAACATCCTTCCAATACCTCAGGAGCATCCATGTGTTGGGCTGTCTCGCCCTTTCGCTTCCGATGGCCATCCGAGGGTTCAAGATGACTCCCAAATGGCCCGAGAGGGCTCCAGGAGCGCCCCCAAGCTCCCAATGGCGCTTCAAGAGGGCCCCAAGAACGCCCCGGAGGCCCGAGAAGGCCCCAACGAGCGCCCCAGAGGCCTCCAAGAGGCCCCCAAGAGACCCCCAAGAGGCCCCAAGAAGCTCTCCGAGGCACCCAAGACACTTTAAGAAGCGTCTGGGACCGCCAAGAGGCCCCCAAGACGCTCCAAGAGGCCTCCACTGGGGGACCCTTCCTCTGCGTGCTGCCCACTTCCCTGATCGAGGCATTTCCTCCGGGCATCGTTTCTGGATGGGCTGGTGGGGCCACTTTTTGTTCGCGACCGCAAGCGGGCAGCCGCGCGGCGTCTACGTTCGAATGGCACCAGGCCTGCGTGCAGGCGAGGGCCTAAACAACAGCTGGCAAGCGTGGGAAGGAGGCAGAGCGAAGAAAGAGCGCGGGCGGTGGACGGGCAACGAAGAGGGCGGGCGACGAACGCGGCGCAGCTCAGAAGCCAACCTCCAAGCCGAAGCGCACCAGGAACCCGTCGCCCTCGAAGTGCGTGCCCAGCAACGCGCAACCGCAGGCGGCCCACACATCGGCGTCGATCAGACACCGTGAGCCGAACGGCGTGAGCCCGCCAAATGGACGAGCGTGGAATAAACGCGTCAGTGACCCAGCGTCCCAAATTCCCAAGCGCCAAAACGAGCCGACGAAGATGCATGGCCAGGAAGGGCGCGAAAGTTCCTGTCGCGAAAGCCGACCAGGAGTATCGAAAGCTGCCAACCCAGCCCGTCCATCACGGCCGCGCGGGACATCGCGGGGTTGCTTTTTTGGGTCGGCGGCTTCAAGGCAACGGACAGGGGGCGGAAGCGGCGCCCGGGTCACGGCACGGGGCTAATTAACTACAACAGGCAACGCACCTGCAGTATGTACATGCACATGCCAGGAGCAAAATGCCCCTCATCGAGACGCATCTCAGCGTCGACTGGCGGTAACTGGGCGTGGGAAGGGCGCGAGGAGTCGCCGAAACGGCGCCAGCTCAAGCAACCCGCAAGTATGATATGGGGACCACCAAAGTGACACCCGGCACCCTCGAGACCGGGGGAGCCGCGCAGGACGGACATGAACCGGCCAAGTGAGAGCAACCTGAGACCTATAGAACAGGCAAGCCAGTGAGAAGCAGGCGCGGCCGGGGCCCGTGCCTACAAATCGATCCAGCCTCTCACGCGCGGCCCAGTTGGTCCGGTGTGGACACATAACAGAACCCGCTGTTGGCGGTGAGTTGTCGCTGAATCCACGTCTGACCACCGATGCCCGTGGACAGAGCACCACTGGGAACGCTCTCGAGCCGCGCAACCACCACCTGGGGGGGGGCCTGCGCGCTGACACCGTCTCCGAACAACGCGGTTCGGGGGCGTAACGGTGCCGTCGCACTGCCACGGGGCTGGTAGCTGAGGCTGCGCCGAGGTCTAGCGGGGCGGAGTCGGATCGCTGCAGGCTGCGCCACACGGCGCAGAACCGTCCACACCGGCCATGGTGAACGACTGGGGCTGCTGTACCCACTCCACTCCAGCCCCGCGGCATCAGCTGGGGCCAAAGTGGGGCCGTCGACGCAGCCGAACTCCGAGAGCTGGCCGATGCTGCGCCCGCGGTGAGAACGGGGGCCAGCGGGGGCCAGTGACTGCTCCGTATACAATGCTGAGAGAGGGGCCAGAGGCGTCCTCGTGTTCGCCACCAAGGGCTGTCTGACTGCGGCGGCGGCGAGGCCCCCGCACCCGGGCGGGGCCGAGAGCTGCCGGGCACGCGGTGCTGTGGACAGCCCGAGAAACACGGAGACAGAACAGGGGGAGGAGGAGGAGGAGGAGGAGGAGGTGGAGGAGGAGGAGGAGGAGGGGGGGGAGGAGGAGGCGGAGGGGAGAGGCAGCCAAAAACCGCCAGAACGAAGACACGGAGGAGGAGGGGGGCGGCCGGCGGCCGGGGCGCCGCCCGCGTAGACCTCCCCCCACTTGACGAGCGGCGCCCACCAGGCTTGAACTGGGGGGGGGGGCTGTCTGGATGGAAACGGCCACCGGCCACGATCTCTGCATCTCGCGCGGGGGGGGCGCAGCCAGAAGTCGCTGTGCACATATCGGATCGGGAGGGGGCGGGGGGGGGGGGTTGGGGGCGCAGCCAAGAGCCGCCGTCACGATTGCATTCACCAGCCACGAACGTCTGCATCTCGCGGCGGGGCGGGGGGCGAGGGGGCGATGGGGGGGGGGGGGGGGGGGCGGCCAAAAGCCGCTGACGCACATATCTGACCGGGGGGGGGAGGGAGAGGAAAGGAGGTGCAGCCAAAAGCCGCCGCCACGATTGCACCGACAGAGGAGGAGGGGGGGGCAGTCGTCAGACGCGGTGCGGTCTGCTCAGAATTAGCTCTTCCCTCGTCTCCTGGCGGCCTCTGCGGTGAGAGGCCCGCCACTGCGGGGGGGGGGTCTAGCCGCCTGTCCCATTGGTGGGTGGACAGCGCCGTCCGACTATAAGGCGCCCCTTCAGGATGCAAGCCACCCGCGGGACACGCGGGCCGCCCACAGCGCTGTCCCGGACAAGTGCCCGGTGACGGCCAAGACGCGGCGAGCACGGGAGAGGCGATGCAAGGCCCTGGGCAGCAGAACGGGGACGCGAGGGGGCCTTGACCCCCCGCGGGAGGCCCCGGGCCAGAGGGAGGCATCCCAAACGCAACCCACAACATGCAGGGCGGCAATGGGTCAGCTGCCAGTGGCCAACCTCCACGCACCAGTCCCCCGCGCGTGCGGTGCCAAGATGGGGGGCAGCAAGGCTACTGTGAGGAGACGGCCCGCCCCTGTGTTTTGCGTTTCTTGGGGGCCTGGTTGTTCGGGCGGCCCTTCGCCGCGTGGTGATCATTGCTCACTCCGCCGCTTCGACCCAGGCGTAGCTGCCACAGCCGAGCCCAGTCGACGTCCAGGCCCAGCGCGTCACTGACGGCCCGTACGTCGCACTTGTGGCTGCGGAAGGTTTCCAAGAAGAGGTGGCAGGTTTGCGGGTCGCGCCGAAGCGGGTCGAGCGCGCCCTTGCTGCCGGGCACAGACTGCCGCATGGCGAAGGCGTTCCAGGTGCCAGTGAACATTGTTCCCAGCGCGACTTGGAGCCGTCTTATCGCCTCGGCGGGTGTCTCCCCGGGGAGGTCCCACCGGATGTTGTTGATTCCTGTTTTGTACAGCTGCTGCCCCGTGTCGGGGTCCGTGGGCTCTGGCCATTGGCGCGGGTCGGGCCCTTGGTGCCGCCGCGCGTCCTGGCCGCGTGTCTCCAACGCACCGGCCTCGTTGACCTGGCCGGAGGGCTCGCGATATGTCCGCGACAGCTCCGGCTGCACGCCTGGCGGGGTTCTGCGGGGAACAGCAGGCCGCATGGTTGGCCGCCAGGCGGGGGTCGGATCGCATCCGGCGGCCAGGGCGGACGCTGCCTCGTGGTGCGTGTGGAAGGGCCCCTTTCGCTGGCGTTCGCCTTCGGGCATGTG